GTGCAACAGCAATATCGCAAAATAGTTTTAAAACGAGCATATCTTTAGAATTTCGATACAGAGACTCACGCGCTGGAGATAAAAATGTTGTTTTTCTGCACAACGTTGCCATTGTTCGCTTGAAATCCTTGAGTTGTTAATCAAAAATTCGTCAAAGTTTTTAAAAAATAGGAAATCGATCAAAAAAAACAAATTTCAAATTTCAAATTTGGTCTTCCACATGCTCATATTCGTTGGAGGATTAGTATTCAAAATTCAATGACTCTATGTACCGTTGTTTTATACAATACGAGAAATATACATACATTTAGCAGATTTTTCATTATTAATTTCTTCAAATATAATGCAGGACTCTAACATGTTGTGGCAACAGTTTGAAAAGTGAACCGACATTTATGAGTCCGACGCAAAATGCCAAAACGAAACTAATAGTCCTTCGGGATTCAAATCCCTTTGGACTAAAAAAAACTTTAAAAAGTTAAAAAACGGACTTAGGATAGTCGAAAAACTCAAAAACTTTTATAATCCAAAATTTTAATTTTGGTGTTTGCATTCTGGAAAAGCAACACTCATGAATTAGTATAATATTATAATAGGTGTTAGTTGCCATTTCAGCGATGTTATTTCATTTGATACTTTACCTACTGGATTAGACTTTCTGCTATATATTCTCGGATCTGTCAGAGACGGCTGACGGAGCATGGCACCGAAGAGGGGGTACGGATCGCCCGGGCCTTTCATCGGAGGATGTTAAGTTTTTAAGTTTGATGATGTTTAAGGTTTTAAGTATATGCAGAAATATAAAAACGGGCGAAGCTAAAAAAGTGGTCTGCATTGAAAATATTAAAGTTTACTGTAGAAATGGAAATTCTGTGCTGTTGTTCATTTCTTACAGCCACCTAAATCAAAGCAGTTTCTCTTAGATTAAAAAGCTGATATTATAAAAAAATTGTGATAAAGGAGGAAACAATAGTTGCGAAATGTAAGATTTTTGTAAGTAAAAAAAGAACCTGATTAAAAGGAAATATTTGAATGTAAGTCATTTAAAAAAAACTAGAGAAAAACAACAGCTCTATATAATAAGATAAGGAGCGCAGCTGGCTTAAACTGGTTAACTGGTTAACTATTAGCTTAACGGGCATCGTGTTTATTTCGCATGATCCTGCATTCATTTAATAAACTCTAATTAATTATACGAAACACGTATCGAGAAAAGAATAGAGGAATAAATAAGAAGTTTGTATAATTATCTGAGTCTGGTATCGCTTTATCTCTATTTAATTCCATTTATCGTAATCTGCGTTTCTATGTAAAAAAGGCGGCATTTCCTATGAGAGAATAACATACACATCGCGTAATCCTTCGTCGGTGGCCTGCTTTAAACTGCCTGCCGTTTTTGTCAAACTCAGAATAAGTTGATTAGATAATTATTGTTTCTGCTGCATATCTTACCCTTCCTTCCGCAATAGATACACGTCAAATGATTTTATTCCGTCGTTATATTTCACCTACTGATTAGAAATTAACAGAATGTAATCGTTAGAAATTAAGTTGATTGAGAAAATATGATATTTTCTTCAGTTATGATGTCTCAGCTCAAAGTAACAAAGAAAGATTCGTGGCATTTAGCTATTTTGATTCCTATTTTTGTAGAAAATATCTTGAATTTTAGAAGAATTTTCTATTCAAAGATATTGGTGTTTAATAAGTTTTATTAAATGACAAAGTTTTACTTTAAATAAGATTTAAATTTGGCATGATATGTAATTTTGATAGTTTAATCATTTATATTCAATATTTTTAATAATGTTTCATACTCTGTAGTTAAACATGGCAGTAAAATTCTAGTGTCCGAACTAACTGTGACCACAACTAATCTAAATAATAAAAAAAATTCTATTATTGGACTGGAATTATATAGAGAACTGCGCAGCAAGCGAGAGCTATCTGAAACATTTTAAAGGTAACTGGCTCGTATTCACGTTACATATGCGAAAAATAAAGACCGCTCACACGTAGCCAGCCCATTTATGGGGTGTGAACCTGGGGTGAATTTCCAGAGTTGAGTTCATCAGTCTTACCGCTGAGATCCCCCCCGGGGGTCGACGTAAGTAATACACAGTCATAAGTAATCAAAACAAACGACACGACCAAACGTGGGCATGTGCACGCAGTGAATTAAAAAGTAAACTTATAAATACTCTTAAGAAAACAAGCAAATATAAATGGAATGTTAAGCTAAACAGTACATTTGTACTAAGACATATGCTCGCAAAATATCCAGAGTGATTTATAATTCTGCTATTTGGACGACCATCAGATGGATTGCACCCAGATGTTCCTTATTACCAATATAAATGTTCGAACTACGTAAAAATCAAGTTATCAGTTCAATATGTCATTTGTGCTTATGTTCCATCCCTTCAAAGTCTAGGTATACTTGTCGAGGTAAACCTCAAGTTGTTGAAACATTAGTTTAAAACTCCAGATTTAAGTATTTTTATATCGGCAGATTTTATGCTGGATAATCACGTATAAAATTCGATAACATACAATATTTTTAATCTTTCATTCGAATGAACATTTTGACAGTTAAGTATGGCAGCAAATTATTAACGCAGGTTCGATGAGATAAAACAATTTAAAATTCTTTACTGTCTGTACACTAATAAACACATAATCACAGCTAAAAAAATATTAATCTTTCATGTGTCTCTACGAGTACCACATTAACACATAAGTACCATATTAACATATTAAATTCACAATAAACTCATGAATAATGATTTATACCCTAATCTTGGGACAGAACTCTTTAATATTTATTGAGATTCAAAAATTCATATTTACATAAAATCTCTACAAAGAAAGGAAGTAAAAATGAAACAGAAAGCCCACACAAAAATATCGCAGACTTCGGGAATATGTAATCTAAAATAGACTTATACGATGCTGAAAATTAACACTAATAAAAAGAGTGACTGAAAGTAATTTAATGTAACCTTTCCTAGTCAATTACAGATTTTTTAATACTGTTTGTTGTTTTTCTTAAGAGAGAAACCGTTCTCTCCACTACGCTAAATATCAATTGGGATGAAAATTAACCTCTTTATAATACTTCGTAAGAATCGTACTTTTCTGAAGCATCTGTAAAACTGGAACGCTTCATCACATCGGACTAGATCCTTTACCGTCCAGTTCATTTCTTAAAACTCTATAAAACTGGAGCACTTCATCAATGCAGAGAAGAAAGGTCTATACCACTAATTTCTTAAACTTTACGTTTCTGAAACTGGAATGCTTCATCAGAGTAGGCAGGAACATTTATCGTTCTTTTTTACCAAGTCATCTTCAATAAAATATCCTTTCTCCATCTAAAGTACTTCTTAGTAGATCTTTTTTTGCTTACGTCCGAAATTAACATACGAATTGTGGTTAATAACTAGCTTTTTATTACTTATTAACCACAATTTTTCTCCTTCTTTTCTTCATATTGTTAAACTCTAAGTCAAAGCAAAAGCTAAAGGTTCAAAAGCCTTTTCTCAGATAAAATCTTACCCATTTAACTGCATTAATTAAAAGATATCTGTTGATGCAACCACTCCTCACTTGAAATTATTAGTCAATCACGGTCTGCCACAACCTTTTCCAAACCAACTATAACCGCTTAGAAATTAAAAACAGGCCCTGCAAATATTTCACTACATGAGACTAGGGTATTTTTCCCAACTCATTCACCAGAGTAGGTGTCCGACTATTTTCACGTGCCCATACAATGTCTTTCAAGAAAAATAATAACTCTAGTGGAAGTTTGTCTCCGCTATTTTTCTTATACTGTCTACGGACCATTTTAATATTAAATAGTGCCATGCTGCAGCTCTAGATTTTTTTACAAAGCTAAAGAATTCGTTTGCATCCTACAAAGAAATACATTTTAAGCTTCCCTTGGAGGATTTCAGACAATTCACTCATAACAAGTCTTGTTTTAAGCACATGTTCGTTATTTGGTGGGGTACACCGTCTCTTGCTATCTCATCAAGAGACTAACAAGCATTCTCTCTCTGTGCCATATACATAGAAGAGAAAAGAGCCTTTACTCACAAAATGTTTACGTGGCGCTTGCATTCTATCGCTCAAACATTCTATCGCTGCCTGTATTCTATCGCTGCCTGTATTCTATCTCTGCCTGCATTCTACCGCTCAAACATTCTATCGCTGCTTGCTTTCTTTCGCTCACACATTCTATCGCTGCCTGTATTCTATCGCTCAAACATTCATTCGCTGCCTGCATTCTATCGCTCTCGTATGTTTCCGAAACTTTCTGTTAAAGAATTCAGAACATTTAGAAATAAACCTGATGCCAGAATCTCTACGTATACTCTCTCGACAGATATTTGAAATTTTGTTTTATAAGTTTTCCTCACATGAGTACATTGGTCTATGAGTTACGGAAGCAATTATCACTTTCTATTAATTTCAATACTTCAGATGAGTTTCTTATTACAAATGATTTCGTAAATTTTACATGAAATGTGCACATGTGTGAAATGTGTGTCTGTGAGTGCAGAACGTGCGCGAACAGTAATAATACATCCACTAGTTTAGAAAGGAGAAAAATCACGTAGTTAAATCCCACAAGATTCCCATACTTCGGACGTAAGCAAAAAAAGATCTACTAAGAAGTACTTGCGCGTAAATACTTTGGATAAGTATTTTATTTATACTTATTAAAAACGCTAACCTAATCATTCATATAAATGAACACTAAAATCTGCCACTTAAGAACGTTTCCAGAAAATCCTTTTATAAGACAAATAAGAAAGTACTTTTGTACTTTTGACATATCCCTCTTTTGCAAAACGTTGTGGAAGTCTATTAAATTCTTTCATCCAGTCTTCTGAGAGTATATTTTCAAGAAATAATTTTGAAATTTTTATTGTGTTACAGTTTTATTTAAAGTGTCCCAATTTATTCAATAAATATATTTTCCTTTTATTTAGCAATGAAATCATTTGCGAATTAGCAGCCTTCTTAGAAGATACGAATGAAAGCAATCCCCATAAAATAGACTCAGGGCAGATAAAAGGAAAGATCGAGAGCTGTGATGATGAGAATGAACAGAAGTGCAAGCAGATGGTAGAACTGGAGGTAACGATTGCATTGCGTTTTTTTATCAAAGAGTACTAATCATATTAGTTTAGATTCCAGAGTCATTGACTATTAAAGAAGCGAAGAAGTAGGAAGGATATTATATTGAAATATTAAACGATAAAAATAGCAATATGGGAAGACCTGCATGCGAATTAATGCCAAAGTTTTAAACATAAATTAAATATAATTAATCAATATTAGATGAAATAAACGCATTAAAATTTTACTTAAGATATTTAATAATTCAAATTTACTACAGGAACAGAAAAAATGCTAAATAAAACGAATAAAATAAAATTTTAAAAAAATCCGAAAGGCTTCAGATTTTAAATTATGTTCAAAGGAGCAATTCGTTAACGTTTTGTGTGTTACAAATATTTTTATGGCAGGCACTAGCCATTTTTAGGCTTTCGCCATTACTGAGGCCAGATGGGGTGATCATTTTATTTATGGAGGCAGCTAACAAGCGTCCACCTTTAGATGACAGACAGTTTAGGTCCCTGCTTTCTCCGGAAGTCATAACCAGACCCTCTGGTATCGCAAATTCGGTAAAAAGGAAATTAAATTTTCGTTCACTTTATCTAGTTAGTACTTACTAAATTTATCCTTTATTTCTTATACTGAATTATTACTATTAATTTTATATTGTAAAGTTGCACAGCTGCACAGACTGCATAATGGTTAGAGGATCCTGACTGCGATACCGAAGGGCCTGTGTTCGAATTCGGAGAAGGCATGGATGTAATATTGTCTATCCCTTCTTAGGAGGTAACAATGGCCGAATATTAGTTACCTCCACAATAAAATGGAACCAATTTTAAACTTAGAATGCCGTTATAGGCAAATGCCCGCTATTGGGAAAAAAATAAAGTTGCACAAATTATTGTTGTTTGAATATTCAAACATTTTGCGTCCAAAAACGTGGTACGCGGGTTTGGGTACTAATATTTATAGCACGAACATCCAATTTATAATAATTTTACTTTGCTTTAATACTTATGGAAGAGAAATTCCAATTTATTATGAACGTTTCAGTAGAAGAACATCCTTCAATAATGTTGCGTTCGTGAAACAATGCTTCATTCCATCCAAAAAAACAAGACTTGAAGCATGAAAATAGCCATGTATGGTTTGGAAATGCCCCTCTATAGAGTTCTTAAGTTTATTGCGAAGCAGAAAGCGTGAAAAATAAACGATGCTTTCGCTGAGATTTGAACTCTGGACCTCCCGATTTCTACCCGGATGTGCTTCCTATTACATTACGATGGTTCGCATTCAGGAAGAAAGAAATTTCCTATAATTGTATCCACAAAAAGTAGGTTTTGGAGCAATCAGCAATAACATGATACAGATATTTTAATCCATTTTTTAAAGTAAATCATAAATTCAGAACATTTTGAGAAATTTCATTATAATTTACTTAATTCTTTAAAGAGGATGTATAAGCGAAAGTTTACGCCTGTCGTTGGCAACAGCCTTGAGCACCTTACAGGTGAGTGGGGTTTAGCTCATTTCGAGCCCCGTCCCCCCAGGGTGGTGGGCAGGGGAAGAGGAGTAGAAACCTCATCCTCTACCACTAACCTCTCGTGAGAATTTTCGGCTCGCCGCATGTTTAGAGTGCCCCCATGCCTCACGGACTCTATACATTTACAAACAACCACGCCTTCTTCGGGGTTCGAACCCGGACCCTTCGGCACGGCAGTCAGCTACGCCAACCACTATACCGGTTGGGCAGCAGTTACGAAAGTGATAGAGCAGTATAGCAACAAAGTAAACATAACCACCGCTTCTTCACGCGAATTTTCTGGTGACTAAGGAATCAGCTTTAATGAGATCTCAAGACTAGGCTGTTCTACAATAGCAGTTTCCTTACGTGTTTAATTATAAGAAAAAGGGTTAAGCAACAAACTTTATATAAAGTTTAATTAAAAGTTGGATATAAGAAGCAAACTATTAACTTTAAAAAAGAAGTAAGAAACACAGCTAAGGGGAAAAAGTGGTACTTTTATTAGTTATTCCGTAGCCATACTTTGCTTATTTTTACATAGATGCTTACTTATACATGCTTCTTCATATTTTTTTTCTTTTCGCTTATGCATAATTTTAAAGAATGTCGATCCTTAATCACTATTCTGTAGGTGGAATAAAAAATAATCTTCATGACATTTTGTACATATAATTTTCTTCTAGAAAATGACATAATTTCTTATCTTTTCCTAGAAAATCATCTAAATAGCAGGCATGTATGACAAAAATTAAGAATAAAATATAAAAATAAATCTGAAAGGTTTCAGATTTTAAATTGCGTCCAAAGGGGCGGTTTTTTTAACGTTTTGTGCGTTACCTTTATTAAATATCATGTTCTTTGCACTTAAACCATAAAATTCAGTTCAATAACCATGTCGCAAAATAATTTTAAAATGAGCCTATCTTTAGAATTTCTGATACACAGTTCCGCGCGCTGGAGATAAAAAGATTTTTACTCCCGTAGAGTGTTGCCATCGATTGCTTTTAAATCGTTGAGTTTGTTACTCAAAAATTTGTTAAAGTTTTACAAAATATCAAATTGATAATAAAACAAATTCCAAATTTCAAATTTGGCCTTCCACATTCCCATATTCGCACTAGGATTACGTCATTCAAAATTTGATGGCTTTATGTACCGTTGTTTTATCACAATGCGAGAAATATACAAACATTTATGCAGATTTTTCATTATTTAATTTCTTTAAATATAACACAGGGCGATAATACTTTGTGAAAAGTGATTCGCTGTTTTTAGTGAATCGACGCAAAATCGCAAAACGAAAAGTATAATAATAATAATAATAATAATTACATTAATGTTAAATTTATAAGTTTATTCTATTATCTGTAAATTGTAATCATTTTAACTATTTACAAATGTTTCTATCACATCAAATTTCCGTTTGAATAAATAATAATTTCTCATAACTTTAAATATGCATCACAATTTTTTAAGCTGTATTATAATTTCTTTTACAATTTTTTCAGGCATCTGTAGGAACAAGTGGTGGAAATTTCACTCTCTCTATAGATGACAGAGAAGGTTATACTGTAGGAGATATTTTGTGCGATAAAGCGGATCATATAGAAGAAAATGTACGCAATAAAATAGTTCGGATTTATTACAAATTTTGTGCTTCTGAGTGGAAAAAATCGGACTTCAAAATGCCTGAGCCATTATGTTGCGAAGACGGTCTTTATGTTCCTTGTAAAAATTTCTATCATGATCATTCTCTATAAATACTAAGTTTGTAAATAAAACAATTTTTAAGTAAAATATTCTTTCGAGTATTTTCTTCTATATACTATACCAGTATAAATATAATGTTTAATCTATAATGAACCATTGCTAAAGAAAACACTAGCATGGATGAAAGCTATAATCGAATTAAAACTACAATCTAAAGAAGAGAGAACATTATTTAATCCATTTACTAGAAAATAGAAATTGCATTGTTCTATTTTCTAGTCAATGCATTAAATAATTAAACGCAAAATGCTGCAAATTCAAGAGCAAAATTTAAAATTTAAGAAAATTGTTTCATATTCAAATATTAATTATTTTGTAGTCAAAATTAGCCCTTTATTCTATACGTATACTTTCAATTGCTACAGTGTCAATTAAATGCAGGCGATTTACTCTAGTTTAAATTTTGATTAATTGGAAAGTAAAAATTTCTGCGGGTGAATTTTAGATTTTGTCTTTCAAAAGCAATTCCTGAGCCGAAGTTATTCTAAACGATTTTTGCATCTTTCTAACTTTTGTCTAATGCGTGATATGGTAATATAAATGATCTGATTTTACCTGCTTCTTGTATATGGAATGTTACTATGTTGAATCCTTCTCTCTAAATTTTGAAAACCGGGCTTGCTGAAGTGTAAGATCTCTAAATTACACAAGTAGGAAAGTTACGCTCTTCTAAGAAGGCGCGAGGCACATCGTGGGATTTTCTCCAAACAAGTTTGGTTTGCGTTATTTCGCAATGGCAAATCATACGAGGGCTATCTGTCTAAGAGGTGGGATGCCTTCGTAGAGAACTATCTAAGGAAAACTAATTCGTATTCACGCTACATATGAAAAAAACCACGAAAACGCGCATGAAGCCGGCCCATTCGCCAAGCACTGCAACCACCAATGTTCAGCGACTGGCTGCTTATGAGCCACCTTCTCCTAGCAGAGTTGAAGGGAATTGGATAAAAACTATTAAAAATCCCTCAATACCAATTTTTATTAAGTGCCTATCTTCAGACATATGTTATAATAAAAATGGGTTGCAATTTTTTACTTCCTTGTACGAAGTAAAAAGGAAGTACTGTAATCGCGAAAAGCTTCAGGCAGCATATTTCAACAAAAATATCCACTTCGAAATCGTTAAATTGCATTCGAAAGCGGGCATATGTTTTTGCGTGATATCTGTACGTAAGGACAGAATAAAAAACTCTTTTCCTCAAAAAAAAAAAAAAAAAAAAAAGAACTAAAAAAACTGCTTTAAAAGGAATTCTGAAGAGAATTTTTCGTGGCGTCTGTACGAACGTATGTACATACGTGCGTGCGAACGTACGTACGTATCTCGCATAACCCAAACACGAGTAGCTTCAGAACTTTGAAATTTTGTATATAAGACTACTATAACATGTAGATGTGCACCTCGTATTTTGGTTTCAATCGGCAGCGCCAAACGTATATAAATATATTTTATAAATATATCCACTCTGTTACCCGGCTCAGTGATCTCAGTTTTCTTTACTCTTCTATGTTTTGTAAATTGTACATTTTTTTGCTTTAAAAATGATTGAATTATGTGTTTTTTATCTTCCGGTTCAGGGTTTTTTATGCCTTTAGTAAATCTGTATGCTCTATATTTTTAGAATTATCAAACAATTTTAAAATTGTTTAAGTGCCACTAAGCCTAATTTGATGGCGGCCATTGCACTTGTTTACATTTGAAAACAGCTGAGTAGCGGATTTTTATTGCCAATCTAGAGAAACTTGGCTTTCGCAACAACAAAGATAACGCCTTCATTTATTATTTAAATCATGCTTAATCCTTTCTGGAATTTTTCGAGGAAATAAGCGTTTAAGATTTACTTCGTAATTTTTTAATACAGATTTTTGAGTTTTTATTATATTTTTTGCCTTGTCGCGAAGTGAAAACTGCATTAGTTGAATGAGAGAAATACTCAATCGTCTGTGAAAAAACTGTTTCTTCTTTTTTTGTTTGTTTGCTTATTTATTTTATACATCGTTCTAGCTTTGTTATTGTATTTGAATAGAACTGTGGCCAACGATTAGATTAATTCTTTAAATGATATAAATTTTGTGCATTCTGAGTTATAATATGAACGAAATATAATACTGTTAAGTAAACCTAGCGCCAGAGTGCCGCAATGGTTAACAAAGTGAATTTTAAAGAATGCATTTATTCTATTGTGGTTTATGCGCTGTCGGCGAAGTAGGTTTAATTCAATCTAATAAGTTTAAATGAAACGCAAGAAAAAATGCGTATAATTTTATATTCCGTACAAGGAGGTCATGTGGTGTACACATCAGATTTTTTTTCCTATGGGTAACAGACGTAGCGAAAGCAGCAGACCAGCCAGGGAAATCATGTTAATGAATGCTCATAGAACAGTGTACAAGCGGATCATTTTAAAAAATTTTCTAAAAGTTTAAAAGTCAACTCAAAAGAAGGGTTTTGTGATATTAATTTACATAACGAAATTTAAATTCTAAACGACATTACGCACGATATAGGCAGCTTAGAATAAGCATTATCAAGCTGCAACTCACGGTACAATAAACAGTAATTTTAGTTTGTAAATAAAGTTAGAACTCGAAGCTTATGTTCCCGCGCTATGACGTGCTTTTTGCTAACCAATGATATAACACTGTATATAAAGAGTTAAAATGTATTATGTAATTTAATATTATATCATTATTTCTCTCAGCCATTTAAACAATTAGCTCTGTTGAACACCCATTAACGCCTGAAATTTTGCAATGTCAAGAATTCCTGAGAACTCTCACTTCAAAAGGGAAGCAAATCCTTCTCCATTGGGTGCCTGGCCATTATGGCCATTGGAACAACGAGAACAAGGGGACTTACAAAAAGAGATGCCAGCTTACTACAACATCCTAATACAACCATTTGGTTATTGGAGGTTTAAACTGTTTTTAAAAACATTATTTACCTCTAATATCTTACGAGATTTTCAGTCTCGAACAGCGTTAAAAAGTTGGAGAATGTTATGGCCTTATCTTATTCCTGGATAGTCCAAGACGCAATGCTGTTGCGGTTTCCCATCTGTCTACAGCACATGATTTTTGCCGCCCACCTGCTTTTGGAGAAGGAATGGGCAAGGATCACCTGCTCCGATGTGGGGCTCTTCGTAGTCTTATAGAAGAATCGGCATACGGGGAGGCAAGAACGCGCTTTAGGCAATGATTTCGGACTTTTTGTTCTTAATCCTATTGTTTGTAACCTCCGTTTATAAGACTTTACATCTGTGTTAGGTTTTGCCTAGCCATTGGAAATTAAATATATATATATATATATACTATTACTGATATAATATTTTATAGCTGATAATAGTTTCAAAATAAGCCTCAAATGTTTTGCGAGTGTTCGTAATCAAAATAATAAGCAAAAATAAATAATTAAAATCTTTTTGTCTTACAAAGCCACTTAATAATATTCATAAAAAGAACCGACAACACATTCAAAAAGTACCGACAAGTTTTCAAGTTTCAAGTTTCGCACAAGTTTCGAGTCCCCGTAACTTGTGCGAAACGAAAAAAATACGTTGTTACCAGAAATAATTTACTGATGCCTGCTTTTCTAAAGAGGTATAGGAAATGATTAGTTTAGGAGAAAGAATCAAAACAAACTTTTATCGTTCTCCCAGATTTAATGTCTTCTATCGAAAACTTTTATAGACGCCTCGATCGTATCTTCTAGTAGATCATTTCCGACGCCTTTGAGATTTCAGGTCACCAATATATCAAAAGGTCCTTATTACAATATCCTTTTCTTCTGTTTATTTCTCAAGAGAAATCGAGGAAGTATTAAAAGCTCGTCGTTATATTTCACGCATCGTTGATTATTCATTGCCATTTCCCAATAGCCCCAGGCATTAACATAGGATTCGTTGCTCTTCCTACCATTGCCACAATAGTGGATCTCCACCATGTGTTTATGACGTCACATAGAAGAATGTATGTGAATTCGGCGAATGTGCTAGTTAAAGGTTATGAATAGGAGAGTATGAAATTAAATACGACTTTCGTTTCCGGACATTGAATTACTCGCTTTAATGAGATTAGAAGCTGTCTATGAGTTTAATGAGCTGGTTAGCTATTGACGGTAAGATAATAAGCCATTTCCTGTAAAGATTAAAACTTTATCCGGATTCTTATTTCTTTCGTAACATTTTGTTTAAAAGTGAATAAGATTTAGGAGTACGAGTTATGACATTTAACAGGCCATTACAGGGAAATAATTATTATGAATATAAATGAGAGACTTTATACGCAAGTTTTGAAAAGAAACTTGGCGTGAAAAATAAAGTACTGAATAGTTTGAAGTGAAAAGCAATAATGATGGAAACAAATGAAAATCATAATGGATGTAAAATTCACTGAGATTTATATAGCAATAAATAGCTAGTTTAGAAAGAATGTTTTAATTATCAACAACACACTACTAACCTGCGACACAAACTAGGAATTCAGCATAAAATACATAAAAAGAAATTTTTTTAAACTGCATGGTTTTAATTAAAAAAGCTAAAAATAAATAGCAAAACTGAAAGCTTTCAGGTTTTATAATACGCCCAAAAAGAGAGTCTTTTTATCGTTTTATGAGTTACCTTTATTTATCAAATATCGTATTGGCACTTAAACCATAAAATTCAATTAAAGAGCAATGAGAATTTCCGATACACAGTTTCACCGCGCTGGAGATAATTTTTTTTTCCTTTCCGTGTAGTGTTGTCAGTGTTTGCTTTTAAATCGTTGAGTTTCCTGAATAAAAAACTCGTTAAAATTTACAAAATTTGAACTAGTTAATAAAACAAATTCCAAATTGGTCCCCCAGATGGCCATATTTGAGTAGAGGACTTACGTTATTCAAAATTGTATCTCTCTAGGTAGTATTGTTTTTTCGCACTACGAGAAATTTACATATATTCACCCATATTCTTCATTATTTAATTTCTTTAAATATAATGAAGGGCTCTAATATTTGGTGGCAACAAGTTAAACGCCGTTTATAGTGAAC